CTGTCATCCCAGCACTCAGGAGGCTGAGGTAGGAGGACAGTGAGTTCAAGGTCAGCCTGCACTACAGAGTAAGACCCTGTCTTTAAAAAAACAGAACAAAACAAAACACTATCTCACTCCTTCATCCAGACTGACATTGTCTCTGCAAGAAACAGAGATATGGCTAAAGCCCTAACAGGAAAACTATGAATGGTTCCTCTGCACTGCTACTACTTTTCGTTATGGACATATCAGGATTACTGTCACTATTTTAAGGTTGACCTCGAACTTGAGATCTTCCTGCATCAGCCTCCCAAATAGCTACAATTACCTGGTTTACAGCCTAGGACCTTCTTAACCAGAAAACAGGTGGAGAGGTAGGGGGGTAATGTTTAAAATTTGTAAATGTTTCAAGGGGAAAATATTTAAATAGTTTATCACTATTATAAACCTTCCATCCAAGAGTACTTCAGACTTCTGTTTCTTTTAGCCTCAACTACATTTATATTTATACTGAACACTACAAGCAATTAACAAAAATGAAGCCATTTTTCAGATACACTGGTATAGTTTCCTCAACACATTGGAATTAACTAGGGGTTATCATTTTTTTTTTAATTCCAAAACTGCATTTCAGACTTTCTAATAGAATCTTAAGGAATAAACCAAGAAGTCTGAATTTTATAAGCACTCTGGGTAATTTCTACGCTCAGGCAAAGTTGAAGAAAAACTGTAGCACCTGATGGAAGGACAGTAAACTAAAAGTCCAGAGTGATCCTAATAAGTTCCTCCTTCCTTAGTATACTGCAGCTCATCACTGTTAACATAACACTAGTTAGTATTCCTGAGGTCTTGCTGTATGCTGTACCTGTACTAAGCACAGTTTATATACTATGTCACTTGATGTTAACAATATTCTTTTGAGGTAGATATCACTTTTACGGTTTATATCTGAATGTCTCCCCAGAGCTTCATATATTCATAGCTGGGGCTTTTGGGAGGTACTACTAGGGGACCATGACACTTACCACTAGATTAATCCACTTCTGACTTTATAGCCAAATGCGATGCTGAGAGATGAAGTTTGGCCAGAGGAAGTGGGTCACTGGGGGCATGACCTGGAAAGAGTCACCTCTTCCCATTATTCACTATTCCTGCTTCCATGCCATGAAGAAACTTCTCCTTTGCTATGCTATCCTGCCTTCTTGTAGCCAAACTGACTGTGAGCTGAAACCTCTACAAACTCTGAGGCAAAATAAACATGTTTCCTCCTTTAAATTATGGTATGTCAGGTACTGTCTCAACAAGAAGAAAATAACTTTTATTTCACCTTTACAGACAGGGAAAAATGATGTTTTGCATCATTCACCTTAAAGTCACATAGTTGTAAGTGGCTGCTGACTTAAAAGCCACAACCTACACTGTACAATTCTAGCATCAGGTAAGAAAAAGTAAATAGAAATCTTACATCTCTCATTGACCAGGGGATTTCATTTCATTTAGTTTTAAAAATCTGCTTATTACTCAACTCTTTTGCATAATTTAAAACTAAAACGAAGAGTAACAACTATTTTGGATACAGAAATACCATTCAATTTCTTTCAAAAAAGAAGCAAGCTACTACATCTTGAGTTATTACTTACATGATCTTAAATATAGTGGGGTTTTTGACCTAGGCTGAGATGCAGATATTGGTTAAAATGATTATCTGGACAGTCTGTTCAGTGATTAAGCTTCTATTTAGTTCTTAGGGGAACAGAAAGGTGCCAGGTTAAACATTAGGAGACTTACCTTATGCTCAAACTTAGTCCTGAAACTATAAATTGGCAATCATAAATAAGTTCTATTAACTTTTTATTATGACACTGTAAGTATATTCAGCTTCACAAAATACATTCCCACTATGAATAACATTCAGTTTATTAAAATTCACATTCCTACATTGTCAGATCTAAGGGAAAAATTACTTTTTCAGAGTAAAAAGATGGCTTCATCAGAAAACGTCAAATGGCACTGGAAGCTGAATAGTAGTTACTATTTCTTATATCTTAAACAAAAATTTACACATAACTTATGGCTCAATATGCACATATATTCTGTGTTGTATGGTACTATTATCAGTATTATAAACCTTCCACCCAAGAGTACTTCAGACTTCTGTTTCTTCTAGCCTCAATTACATTTATGTTTACATTGAACAACTACAAGCAATTAACAGAAATGAAGCCATGTTCAGATACACTGGTATACAACCTAAAGAAAGTATTATACACACATACCAAGAAATTATTACACACATATACCAAGAGATACAAGAAATGTTAATGACAGCATCATTTAAATTACCACCCTAAATATTCAGCAAAACAATTGAGTAAACTGTGATATATTTGAACAGTGGAATACTAAGTTCCAATGGGGGGGGATCAATGAATTAGACCCACAGCTAACAAGCAAAGAGCCAGGTGTGATGGCACATCTGTAATCCCTGAACCTAGCAGGCTGGGCAAGAGTATCATTCAAAGCCAGCCAGGGCTACATAGTGAGCTTAAAGCCAGCCTGCAGTACTTGATAGCAAGACTCTGTCTCAAAAACAAAAAACAAACAAACAAAAAAACCCACAAAGCTCATAAAACGTTGAACTGAAAAAGGCCCAGTACCAACCCAGCCCCTAAAATAAAATAAAATAAAATAAATTACAAATGATTACCTGAAATGTGGTACCAGTTTTTTGTTAGTTAATTCCACGGTCCCTTGCACAGCAGGCTAGTGCTCTACCCAGTTAGATTTAAAATGCGCTTATTACAGATATGCAACAAATGCAAATAAAACTAAACAAAGAAATATACACAGCAATACCAAACAAATACCAAATTTAGGACAGCTCTGGGGTGAGAAGGGATAAAAGATGGGCAGAATTAAAGCTACAAGTGCATCCTTCCTTACAAACTTCGCCAAGCTGTATTCTTAAAAAGAACAGCAATAGGTCCCTGAAAGTGATGTTTTAGGTAAGCAAGCTAACAATTATAGTCAGCCTTCCATATCCACAGATTCAATCAACTTCTAATGGAAAATTTAGGGAAAAACCTGCGTCTGTATTGAACATGTACTTACTTGTCTGTCATTGCTCTCTACAGTGTAAGTATAAAACATTTATAGTGTACAAGATATCACACAGGTAATCTAGAGATCATTTAAAGTATACAGGGGGCTGGGGAGATGGCTCAGAGGAATAAGTGCTTCCTTGGAAAGCACAAGGGCCTGAGTTCAATCCCCGGTTCCGCCAAAAAAATAAATAAATAAAAATAATAATAATAAATAAACAGGGCTGGGGAGATGGCTCAGTGGAATAAGCATTTCCCTGGCAAGTGTAAAAGCCTGAGTTCAATCCCCAGTTCCGCAAAATAAAAAAATAATAAATAATAAATAAAGTATACAGAAGCTATACATAGGTTAGGTGCAAAATTCTGGAACCAATGTCCCATGGATACTAAGGGCAAGTGTACTTGAAGCCGGACATATAAATGCTTTCCTAAAGACTGGAAACTTTAATATTATATTGTGAGACCCCAAACTCGGCACTATTTGATTGAATCAAACAAAATCACTGGGATTTAGTAAATTAAAAAGTCTAATATTAATGATTCCATATAGCTCAACCTATTAATAATTCTCTACATGAAGAGCAAATTACTGTGACTTACTCATTCTTTTCTGTAAGAATTTACTGTAACATAGCCCATATTTAATGGTAACGCTAAGAGAATAGGGAAAAACTGAAATGTAATGGATTATTTAATGTCAGTGGAGAATAAGATAAGCCATTTAGTATACAGAACAGATTTTACAACCTAAGAGACATATGTTGTAAAAAGTGTGCAATAAATGCCAATGCAAATAATCCTTCAAAAATAGTGAAGGAGCTGGTCAGAAAGCTCAGCACAGGGCTGGTGTTCGATCCCCAGTGTGCCGTGCTAGCCCCACTCCCAGCAGATGGGAATGGGTGTGGTGGCCTACACCTGTAATCCCAGCACTTGAGGGGCTGAAAACAGGAGAATCACTAGAGTCCAACCTTTGTAGTGAGACCCTGTAGATCCTGTACTAAATACATTTAAAAAAAAAAAAAGAAAAGAAAGAAAGAAAGAAAAAGAAAAATAGTAAAGACTGAGAAAGACTGAGGCAGGAATGATCACCCCAATGTAACTAGGGCTACATAATGAGTTCAAGGCCAGTCTGAATTATGCAGTAAGACCTTGTCTTGAAATTTTAAAGAGCTAATGAAAGTATACATACTATAAGCACTCTATTTTCTTATTTCTTTCCCCTTTAATCTCATATACTAGTACTTTTTTAAAAAAAAAGTTTAAGTTAGAATGTTTCAGAAAAATACTGAAGAAAATTTGAAGGCATTGTGAGGTTTCCAAAGGTAATTGCAAGGTTTGTAATTTTTTTTCAAGAGAAATATCACTCTTAAGAATAATCACAGGACCAAGAAAAATAATACAAGACAGATAAGAGATTCTTCTGAAGAAAGCAAAAGCAGAAAGTGAAAGAAAAGACCAGGGGCACCCTGGAGACTTGTCCTTGTGAGCAGAAAGCAGCAGGAACAGCAGTGTGGTACAGAAACAGCACCATCAGGAGACTTTCAAGCTCTCTATCAAGCTTCAAGGCTGCTATCCAGAGTCAAGTGAAGAGAAGGCCTGGCCAAGTAATATGAAGGTACTTAAGACTGCTTACATATACTTAGGGCATTTTAATCCATGAAATATGCCTGCTGAAATGTAATGTCTACAAATAATAATATTATTATTATTAATATCATTGTTTTTGATTAGGAAAGATGAAAGACATGCTACCCGCATCTTTTCAGTTATACACGGCAGCGTGGATATCACACTCATTCAATGCCAGATGGCTCTGGTATAGCTCGCTCTCTCCTCAGCTGGGTCCACTATCAGGAGAAACAGCTGCCAGGACACATGCACATTATATCATTAGAGAAGGAGTGGGGGAAGACCAACCTGCCTCTGCATTCAGCTCCTCTAGAAGCCCGCTGGTCCTCCAGGTAGCTCCTGTGTCCTGGCCGCCTACAGAATTAGTGAGCTCTTGAACTACTGCAGCCGCCAATAAATTGTCCACATTTACCACTTCTGGGTCAGAGCTGGTGTCAGATATATCATAATGAGCTACAACTGGAGGTCCATCTAGGGAGGAAAGAAAATGTATACTTGTATCTAACTTGTGGGGTAAAAAATAATTCTGAAACTAAGAGCCCTCTAAATGCCAGCTGCCTTTACCTTATTCATCTATCTGACTAGAAAAGCTATATTTTACACATCTAATATTTTGGATATGATGCGAAAGTGGAAAAGATAGCCTGAGCTTACAAAGATGAGGGACAAATTTTCAAAGGAGAAAAAAGAGTTATGAAGAACAGAAGACAACAAGACTATACCAAACAATGTTACACTCAATTCTCCTCATACTTCTAAAGCAACAGATCAAGAAAAATGGGATTGTTCTACAAAGAAGGTGAAATTGACATTTTAAAGGGGGGGAAAAATGGCATAAATTGTCAAAACCCAATTTATTATTTTTAAGAGAATAACTCTAGTTCTTTTTCTTGGTACCTAATACTTTAAGTTCCTAGTAGAGTCAGAGAAGAAAATCAAATATGTATTTTCCTACTTACTACAAATAACAAAGTTAACACTAGAGCTCTACTTAACTAACTTATGCTATTTCCAGTAAAGCCTTTTTATAACAGAAAAGCTATACACATCGTAACAGTCTATCAAAAGACAATATCCCCAAGGCTCATTTTCAGGATTATGCTCCCCATGTCTCATGAGCAATATTTACATTTTCTTTTCCCTGACAAAGACAAGCTCACACTCCAAATAAATTGTATGTAATCATAAATATTTTTTTCTTTTTTTTGGGGGGGTGTCATTTTGAGACAGGGTCTTGTCATATAGTTCAGGCTAACCTCAAACTCACTCTAGACTGGCCTTGAACTCCCAGCAGCCCTCCTGAATCAGCCTCCCAAGTGCTAGGATTACAGGTGTGTGCCACAAAGCCCAACCTATAACATGCAGTCTTGTGAATAATTCTAGATGAAGATACTAAAATTCTTCCTGGAAAAAATGAAGAGATTCATCCCAGGCCCAAGTCACTCTAACTAACTGAAAAAGGTAAAGCTGAATTCCAAAGTAATTACACTGTAGCAATTCATGCTTAAAATAAGCCAATATTCATGCTTGTAGAATAGATACATGCTTTAAAATGCTAATGCTACTTTTTCCTAACAAGACAGCAAAAGCAAAACCAAAAGTTTCATTCAAGAAATCCCTTTACTACCCCCTTTTAAAGGAAAGCTAAAACAGGGACTGGGGACATAGCTCAATGGTGGAATGCTTGCCTAGAATAAAGCTAAAATACAAGAATGATGTTTCTCTCCCATAGCTCTTTATGAAGTGCAAGCAAATCACTTATTTCCATATAGATTTTAAAATATTACCCAACAAACATACCTATTTTATGAAACTCCTAACCAGGAAGACATACATGTTCCAGTGAATCATAAAAATACAACAATTTAACACATGTATCCATTTTGTAAACTGCTACTAGACAAAAACATGGAACACACCTGGATATTTATCTCTGAAAACTAGGATCCAAAACCACAGATTTATATGACAACATTTTGAAAATAAAAACAACCAAACATAAAAGCAAATGAATTGTTAGGTGCCACAGTATAGAACAGACATGTCACAATATGAAATTCTGACGATCATGACAATTTTCATTTCCAGTTCCCTTAATAGGGTAAATCAAGTTCATTAAAGACCATAAAATTTAACAATCTGGCCTTGGTTTCAACTAGCAATGAATTTTGATTTAAATAGCAAAAAAAATAAAAATAAAAATAAATAAATAAATAAATTTAGCTCATGTTTTAAAGTTTTTCTTTTCTAAAAAAAGAAAAGAAAGCTGCATCATTCCATGAAGTTTTCGTCAGAGTTCAAAATGATTATTATGGAATCAAGATACTGTGTGATGTCCAAATACTTAGGATCAGAGTATGAGGGCCAAGTACAATATTGACTATTTGACCATATATTCCATTTTTCAAAGGGCTTTGTGATTTTGTTCAAGTGTTTGAAATAAATTAGTGATTTTAAAATTTATATCATTAACACCAGAGACTCCCGCTTCATACTGCCCACCTCTTCCCCCAAATTGAAGCAAAAGGTCAACAGTCAAGTCAAAATTGTACTCCTACATGTATAATCATGCAAAAAAAAGTATACGTGTATATATACATGCAGAGTGACATCACCTACCCATGGAAATAACTTCTCTGAAAGTCTTCATCAGTAGAAAATACAAGCATAAACTTGTTATCTGGCTTCATTCTTGTATCTTCCATATTTCCAAACAGCACACCTTATAACTTAGCTTAAATTTAGTATTTATCATAAACAGAGCAAAATTTTTTCATATTTCAATTACACTTAACAATTAAATTATGACTGTCAGCTTTCATTTCCAGTATCTTCAAACAACGACAGGCTGGTAACAAACTTCAACACAGAAAGGGAATGGTGGCCTTTGAAACTGACTTTTAGTGAGAAACCTAATTGAAGATCTGTGTTCCAAGGTCCTCCTAAACCTATTACTAGCAAAACGAAGATTGAACAGAATGTTTAAAGCATGTCATCATGGCTTGTACTCTAAACCAGTAAAAAAATATTAGCTAAATGAGGGTGAAAATCTGTGATATTCTTTTAAAATGAGATTCTTTCCACACAGAATTATGAGACAGGTACAATTTAGTAATTTTTAATATACTTTTAAAAAGAAGTATCTCTTGAAAGGGAAAAATAACTCAGATCATGGAGGAGCTAGAAACTGCAGCACATTTAATATGTAGAACTATTATTTAACTATGTCAACTCATTACAAGATAGAATAAACTTAAGGAAACTATTATTGCTATCAATGATTCTTCTATGCTATTAAAATGACTGTATTGGTACTAGCAAGACTGTTTGATTTTGAACAACATCAAAATAGTCACTTCAAGTAAAGATATTCATGGAAACACTTCCAGTCTGAGATTTACCCATCAAGATAAGCACATTCCATGCTTACAGCACTTCAGGTTAACTAAACTGCACGTTTCCCTATGTGCCAAATCTGATGTCTGTCACAGTCCTAAGACATAATTTTTAATAATGAATTTTGTAGGTTTTCTATAATCATTAAAGGCATCACTCTAGAAAATAAATTTAATATTAGCTAATTGTTACTTATTTGTGGCTAATTCAAATGCTGTTAATCCTTTTAAAATCTTTTTTTTTTTTTTTTCTTGCACAGAAACGGGGATTGAACTCAGGTCCTTGTGCTTGCCAGGGAGGTGCTTACTCTACTGAGCCATCTCCCTGGCCCCTTTTGATTAAAATCTTAATCTTGACTATTTCCCCATTTGTTACAATTATAAAGCAAGAAAAATCAAGTAATCCATCAACTGTTTTTAAAGAACATCAACTCACACATTTTATGCTAACTATGTTTATACCCTCACTAATCTTCTAACCTAACAGGTTCTAACTCTTCAAATACCAAAACACAGATGTCTTTATGTTGTTATACATTCCTAATACATTGCAGTTTATTCTTTCATGGACTTAAAGTTATTCCATTACCGTCATGAAATGTTTAATGCATCAGTTTCCCTGTCAAGTATATTCTAATGAAAAAACCTGAATCACAAAAATAAAGCAAAATAAATTCCAATTTTTCCTTTATCCATGACAAGTGTCTCTCTTCAAAACTGACAACCAGAAATATAGCATTTTAAAACCATGTAAGGCAATTATACAATTAACCACTCCACTGTACAAATGAGTAATCCTAGTTACAATTAGGTAGAACCAGTACAGACTACAGTTGTTCTCGAGGTAAATACATAGGATGAGTACAGGTTTTTAGCAGCAGACACACAGGGTAAAGCTATGTCTACTCTCTCTTAACAATATGACTTTGCTCCATTCCTCAGTTTCTTCACATGGTAGTCAGGGTTCAAAGAACACAAGAAAGTTCAAATACTAATCCAATGCCTCACCTTTCCATTCACTGTAAATGGCACTGGCCTACCTCACTCTTGGCTTCCTTTTGCACACACATTCTACTACACAGGCTGCATGGGAGAGGCTCTGAGGAAAATACCACTGCTTGGGTTGGTGCCTTATGTTCCCTCTACATAAATTCAACTTGTTACATAAATGTTTTGCTAGGATTAAGTTAAATGAAATCATCACAAATATGGCTTTTATATTTTTGTTCGAAGTTCAGACGTGAGTATGTATTCATATAAAAACATCTAAAAACCAAACAGGTCATTCTGGCTTAGGCCATACCTGACATCATCTTTGTGTGCAGAACACTGCCAATAAGTACAATGTTTTTAGTTTACCATTATAAACTCTTTCTACCCCTGAGATACATAGAAACACTGCTCCTCCTCCTCTCTATTGTTACATTGTTGGTCCAAGAATAGGCAAAATAACCACTACTACATGATTTGTTACTTTGGCCCCACTTCTAAGCGTAGATAAAATTCCTTCCTTCCTCTTTACTATCACAATCTCTCCTACCCCCTCATTGTTGCTAAAGAACCTCATACAGACACATTCTTCCCAGCATCCAAAGGCTCAGAGGGAGAGAACAGGCATCACTTTCAGCTTCAATCCAGGTAAGACTCAAAACTTTGGAAATTACCTAGCAAAATAACCTAAGACTGCAAAATGTGTATGTTTGGCATGGTTTCAGGTGAGGGAATGGGGCATGAGCACAAGAACACAAAAAAGAGGCAAATCTGTAAAGATACAAAATAATTTGCATTTTAGAAGAAACTAAGAAAACATACTCATTACACAGAATATTTACTAAATATTACTAAAATGAAAAATCTAATGTGTAAATAATATTTAAGAGAATATGCTGTATGTTCATTACTAACAATCAAAAATTGGATATACACAATTTGAATAGAAAACACTGTCAGAGCATCTGATTCAGAAAAGTATCAAGAAAAGACAAAGCCCACCATGGTATTGCAGGTACACCCCTGTAATGCCAGTACTCAAGAGGCTGAGGCAGAAGAATTGCCATGAGCTCAAGGGGAGCTTGG